TATATATGCTTTAAACAGTTAATATCTAAATTACTATCAGAATAGTCACCTCATTATCATTTTTAATTATTTATTTTACTGTTATTTAACCACGCAAATCTCACAGATCTTTTTTACAAGGGTGGTTGGGGTTTGAACATATTGTTCATGTTTGTGTGCATTATAAACAATTTATTTAAAAATATGTTCTCCTTAGAACTAATTCTTATCATTTTCATTTTGCAGGAAAAGACAAACCTCTACAGGGAAGAATAAATACCAGCAAATATATATTTCATGCATGTACCTTATCTGTAAACTGAAATGTGGTTTTTTTCTATCATGTGAGATACTTGTGAACCGCTGCCCTCTAGTGGTGAAAGACAAACACGACAGWTTGTTGTGTGCCAATGTCAATAAAATTTGTTAAATTAAAAAAAAGTCATTTTTGATTTTCTGTTGGATTCATTAATACTAATAATCCAAAGTACAACTTATATGATCCCAAAGCATTTTATTTTTCAAGCTACAATTAAAGAAAACAATAACAGACTGCAGAAAATATAGAATTTGCTTGGGTATTCTCTTTCTTCACTTTCCACATATGTACAGCTGTCAGAGAACAGGATATGTACACAGAATTGAAGTCGTACAGAGCGCAACTGCCAGGACTCTCCCATCAACAAGAACAGAAAAAAATAAAAAATAGTGTAATAAAAAAAAAATCTGAAACCTAAGCAGCGGTCAAAGTAATATTTTTGTACACTACAGCTTTTATTCTCCAGGTGAGAAAAAAAAAATCTGATGCAGGCACATCTCTAATCTGGCTTCTGAAAGAAAAACAAAGAAATAATACATAAACTTTTACCAGCCGCTCAAACACTTCCGACGACGTGAAGCACTAGAACCGGACATCTCATGGTGACGTTTACCCTCCTGACTCAGAAAACTATAAACAAACAAACAAAMCAAAACAAAAAGCATCCATAACGAGGTAATAAACGATTAATCATGAACGTAAACCACTCGGTCATGAAGCCCGGAGCAGATGTTTCAGATAGTTTCCGAACCCCGCCAATAAATTTCAGTTTACATTTTTAAATGCAACAATGAAGAACGTATTTATTTGAACCTTCGCTGTCAGAACGCATCATCTTATTCCATTAATTTAATTTAAAAAAAAAAAAGGTACAGTTTGAACTGGGGTTTTATGGAAATGTTATAAACAGTATCTTAACTGTTGCAGAGAGCTTGCTGTAAAAACTCAGATCAGGTTGAGAAGCTAACAGGCTAACAGCTAATCCAGTTTACAGTCATTTGACTCCTTACATGGTCGGTAGTTATAATCCACTTCAGTCGTAGTAGATAGCTTTTTAATCCAGTCGAAATTAAAACAGCTTTCCCCAAACAGAGGTCATCTACAACAGGTAAGATACTGCTTCTTTAAAACCTTTCTACAAAATCCCACGTTACACATTTTTACATTCAGTGATCACCACTGACAACCAAATGCTGTGAAGCAAACTGACAGAAAACCTTCAAAACACAGAATTAAATAAAGAGCTGCCCATCAAAGCCTTTTGACATCTTCTAAACCCAAAGCAGGAGCGAAACGTTTCATCTCTTACATCAAACTAAATTAAACCTTTGTCAGTGTATCGCTTTAGTTTATGAAGTTGAGATGAAATGCCTTCGAAAACGAAAATGCTACGAATTTACCGGTCAAAATGCACCCTCAATAAATACGAGGATAAGTTTTAAAATATATTTATATATATTTATATATTTATATAAATGCATATATATTTATATATGCACACGTCACGAACGGCCAACGCAACAATAAAGCCAGTTATTGTAGGAAGTGATTAGTAAAAAATAAAAGGATTCTCAGCCGTCGCTGTCATCTGACGTCCAGTTCTTCACCGCAGCCAAAAAAAAAAAAAAAAGGGAAGTCAAAACTAAAAATGTGAGGGATAATTAAAAATAAAATAAAATAAAAAATATGTGATTGTCTCAATTAATTCTGCACAGACACGTTTCCATCCAGGTGAGAATTTAGGCTGTTTTGGCTGTAGGCATCAGAGAGGAAAGAAAAAATAATAAAAATACAGGAAAAGGGTGGTGGGCGGGGACTCCTCGTCCTTTCTGTCCTCTGCACTTTTTAAGTGTCTTTTTTGTGTCCGGACCGCCGCGAGTCTCTGCACTTTTGACAGTAAAAGATGTCGGGCACGTTGGACTTTTTGATCTTGGCGCAGGACAGGTGCACCCAGATGCCGCACTGGTTGCACTCGATCATCGGTCGTCCGGCGAACGGCTTCCCGCAGTAACAGGTGATCAGGTCCCACGAGTCGTCCCCTGCGTTAAATAAGGAGGAGTTAGAGGACAGCCCGACTGCTGATTAGAAAAAAGGGAATTCCGACTAGCTGTGGCATTTCACATTTGATAAATACTTACTTCAACTGTAAACACTAAATCTAAATAGAGATTTGTTGATTCTTTAACTTACGTCCTTGTGTTAGAGGTATGACAYCATATCCACTAAGTGGGCTATGAAGGCTTTTCTGGAAGAGGGAAGCAGGGCCGTTTTGTCCACACACAGACAGAGCTATGCAGACCTTTATATGTGTGTAAATATATTAGCTCGTGCACTCACGCTATATATGAACTATATGTATATTGGTTTTGGCACTTACGCTATATGTGTTAGCTCAAGCGCTAACGCCATTTATGTATAAGCTTATGCGCTCACTCTTAGTTTTGGTGCTTACACTATACGTGTATTAGCTTGAGCACTAACGCTATATTAGCTTGGGTGCTCATGCTATATATGTACTATATATGTATTAGTTTTGGTGCTTACACTATACGTGTATTAGCTTGATATCTAATGCTATATATGTATTAGCTCGGGTGCTCATGTTATTTCACCACATATATAAGCCCGAGCACTACTGCTATAGCAGAATATTTAAACATTTGGTTGGGCACCAACACTATATTGTCATACATATTAGCTCAGGTGCTAATGCAAAAGCTAAGCTAAGCTAACATTCTCTTTCCATGAAGCAGCTGTGGTGCCACAGGCTGAGTTATTTCCACATTCTCTTCTCTGTCAAGGYGCTCTGGCTTTATTTAAAAGGTCTGATTGTCACAYATAGTCCAGGGTGGACAGAACTAGCTTGCTGCCTTACACCGAACACCTAGTAACACCATCATTTATTTGGTATGCGTTGCGGTGTAGGTAGCATAGCAGCGTCTGTGTGACAATATAATGTGTGAAATTGTTAACTGAAACAGTATTTTTAGTCTTTGTTTCACAGTTGAAGGAAATATTTCTCAAATAATGTCTAATATTACAACTAGTTGGGGTTTCTTTTTGGTTAGTAGGTAAAAACTGAAATAAGTTGTGTTGTACCTGACTCCACCATGATGTCTTCATCTGCAATCCACGTCTCGCCCTCGCTGGAACTCATCTCTGCATCCCGAATCGACTCGTCCGGCTGCGGCTTCCACTGCGTGCTCGAGCTGGAGCTCCCGTGCGCCGACAGCTCATCCTTGGCAGCCTGCGCCTCGGGCTTCCTCGCCTCGGAGTCYGTCTCGCTTTGCGGGGCCGAGCTCTTCGGCTTCTTGGCTTTCGGCTGTTTGGAGGAGTTTTTGCTCCGCTTGATGCGGGCCCTCTTCTCGCCCTCGCTGCTGCCGCTGTCCTGCGCCGTCATGCCGGAGCCCAGCGACAGCTTTTTCAGCTTTTTGTCCTTCTTGCGCTCGGCTTTSACGCCGGCCTGGCTCGCGTAGAGCGAGTCTTTGAGGCGCATCTTGTCCAGCAGGGTGCTGTCGGAGTGCGCGCGGTGAACGCTCTTGCCCTTGTTGGCYCGAGCCTTGCGAACGAACGTGTGGATGGTGTGAATGTCGGASCCGCCGTCTGCCCAGGTGTTAGCCATGGAGCTGCTGCCTCCGCCGCCTCCATCTACAGACAGACCTGAGCTGTGTGCAGAGCTGGACGAAGTGGGAGACCAGGAACTTTCCTTCAGGGCAACAAAGAACCAATTAGAGTCCATCTTTATACTTTTACCAATTATAAAGAGCTTCAGTCAACAAGTGACATTAAAGCTTGTTTTGAACTCTGAATATTCCTTTCCCAGCCTGCTCGTTACTCAGTGATGCTATTTCTATATCTTGGTGACAATGGGAGCTTCTCACCTCTTTAGGGTTGGGGATGTAACCAGCATAAGCCAGAACGAAGCTGCAGAACTTATTGAAGTCCTCAACAGTCCTCTTTCTCCTCTCTGGGGGCTAAAGAACACACACATGTCTCAGTTAGAAAAACAAAGTAAATAAGATGGATAAACTTGTCGACACAAAAGGAAGTACTTACCAGAGGTTCTGTTTTACACGTCAAAATCGAATCTGGGGAAGAGAAACAGAAAAAAACAGAGGTAGATTTAGACACAAAGTAGTGGTCATTCTGATTTATTGTGTTGTTTGTAAACACAGTTACCTGGAGGGTGTTAGCATCGCCTAGCTAGCTAGCCCATTATCTCAATGGGGATTATTAACAAGCATGTTGAGATTATTTAGAAGCCACATTTGGTTAGCAATATCTAACTGAGTTTATTAATGGAAATAGCAGGTTAAGACACAGTAACACCAATTATAAAAGCACTCTAGCAACCACATCCAGCCATGTTATTCACCATTTGCGAACCTTAAAACATTTTGTGCAAGTGTGCTAAATAAGCTAGTTTAAGACAATGCTAACAACGGGTTTATTAGCTGGAATCATAAATATCGGCTACAAGCTCGTTAGCGATGCTCATATTAATTACCGCGCAGAATAATCGATTCTTATGAGCATCRTGTTGTGCTGGAGGTCGATCACATCTCATGAAATGGAAGAGGGAGGCTCAAGTTGGAGGCAGCTCGGCTCGTTAGCACGGTGTCGCTAATGTGTTTGGCAGGGCGTGTCGTGCTTGTCAGCCTCGAAGTTCGAACCAGTGAATAAAAAAAATGTTTCGTTGTGACACACATGAGACTTGTTTTTCGTTTTATATTGTAAATTTAAGGAGTATTTTTTTCTCCCGGTGAGGTAGTGAAAAGGAGGAGTGGCTAGCAAGTTAGCATTTAGCGTTAGCTTGGCGCTTCGGCGCGGACTGCACATGACGGATAACACAAAGTTATCCAAYTGCAATCGTACCAAAATGATGTGTAGTTCGACGAGCTGCAGCTTATTTTGGAGGCAGTTTAGCAACAAGTAGTGAGTTAATCTGGAGCAAGCCAAGCAGATATTACAGTGAGCCTACGCAACCACAGATAGCATTAGTCACAATAGCGTGAAAGCCCAATMTAGCGACGGTGTTTTACTTTTACAACAAAAACAACAGCATTGCAATGTTCAAGTGACTGATTTGTGACGATACCTTGGTGATCAGACATTATGTCGAGCATTGTCGCCTCATAGACAAGGCCACGATCCAAAAAGGAGAAGCCGCTTTTGCGCTAGCCGGAGARCAGCGGCCGTCGCTCGGAGGCTTTTCCCCGGCGTGGCTGCCACCTTATGTCGGGTAACTTTAGGACTGGAAAGCCGAGGGCGCGGAGGATCGAAGAAACTCCCGTTGAAGACGCCTGACTTCGGTTTGGAGCTGTGTTATGTCCCAMCGTTGTGGATACGTAACAACGGCTAACGTAACGGAGCAGAAACAAGCTACTGTTGGTCAAAAATAGTAATTCCTCTGTAGATCACCGTGGTCCACTTGAGCTCCCCGTTCTTCGGTCTCGACACGACAAAATRCATCTTAAAAAAGTAAAATCTCTTCAAAGTAGCGCAAACGCTGAACATAAATCCATATTGGGAACTCAGGTGAAGTTCATCAATTCTTCTCTGCGGGCATAAAAATCCACTAGACTTTGGGCTTTATTCCGCGCGGCAGCAACCTCTTGGGGGCGGGGGGGGGGGGKAAATTGGATCACCMGAAAGGACGCAGCGGGAGGGATATCCTCCTCTGATTGGTTGTTGGGGTGAATCCCAGTTATCCGATTGGCTGAAACCCTTCGAGTGGGTYGGATCAGTCAGCAGCGCTGATACAACCTAGCAGTGCTAGCACCCAAACCCGTCGAAGCTGCTRCGAAGAGATGGTTGTGGTGCATTCTGGGTAGCGTAGTTTTTGGGGGACACTTACCTATGCTCGTACGATGCAACAGAACTTCATTTCCCACAAATTACAGRAAGTACGGGCTGTCACGTCTTCTGAATGTGGAAAAATACAAACATGCTACTTCACAAAGCTAGCTGATTATTGATAACGCAAATGCTACTTTTTAATATTTGAAACTGATATTTGAGCAACTTTCAAAGCTGTATTGCGTTTAAACTAGCCAAAATTATTTTTACTTGTAGTTTTTGTTGTGTAAATGGGTGGTAATTTAGAGGCATGCTAACTGGCTAACGCTAAAATGTTGTCTGAACTACTGCAGGGCATTGAGACTGGAGGCTTTCTTGTAATAAAAGGTACATTTCTTGAATGTTAGAAACTTGTAACACTAACATGCCTGTAACCTCTGATGTTTAAAGATGACAAAAGTCGTTTAATGTGCTTTGATAGATTCTTGCAATTATTCTGGGAGACATCTTCTGAAGAGCTTCATCAATGCTGCCTTAAACAGGTACTGTTTTAATAAGATTGTTATATTTAAGGGATWTATCTACTAGTATAATAGTCATTTAGAAACATAAATTCTCCCTTTTTATTTGTTGTGACATTAGGACAGAGGTTGTACACGTTCTTGGCTTTGATGTGAGTGAAGAAGAGTTGAAGGATGGACTGAAAACATCAGACACTCAGAGGTAAATAAAGCTAAATATTAAACAGTTAATTTTTTTGTTTCTAACAGAGCTGCACCATATTAGAAACATAGTTTTAGTCTTCCTGCTGAATACAGCAGTAAGCTTATCATTTGCATTGAACCCACATTTTGTCTCATCTCTTTCTGATCTGTTACAAGGCTCAAAACTTTGTGTACTTTTGCATCTCAGATGCTAGCATTTAAACAGAGTGCAGGCATCAAGATCAGAGTTCATAGGATTGGTAAAATATATTATTGACATGCAAARTGAGAATGCATGGCTCTCGTAAAACTCCAGATTTATTGCTGCTCCTTGTGATATTTGCACTGCTAAACCATTAAATAACTGATTTATTTTGTGCACATCTTTTCAAAGTAATACTAACCAGTATATACAGTGCAAATGTTTTTTYCTGGCTTTTTTAATACAAACCCTTTGAAAATAAGTTTAATATGTTAAATCAGGTGGTTCATATCTTAAAAGTTTTAATGTGACAATTATTTTCCATAAAAAATCATAATGATTTGGTTCAACCTTTCCAAAAACATGCACAACACTCACAATCAGTTATTTTTATCATTATAAAGCCAAGCCGTTATTTATATTCTTTGAGGCCCCCTGAGATTTGTCACAGATCAGTTTTATACAAGTATATTCTAAAATGAATTAATTAATTTTTCCTATTTTCAGGCTACACTTTCACAATGCTTACACAGACCCCCTCGGGTGGACTGAGCACCCAGCATTCATGGTCCACCAGTTCAGTTCCGAGGGCCTTACAGATCTGGTCAAACAAWCGCCGCACCCCAAACCTGCGACACTAATCATTGACTCTCTGTCCTGGATCCTGAGGCATGTGAGTCCACCTGCTGTCTGCAAAACACTTCAGCAGCTCAGAAAAGGTGAAACATTTATTTAACAAAATCTCATTTATTTATTGTCAGTGGAGAGTGCAGGTGGCTCTTCTTCAGCTGATGGGTTTGTTTCTTTTGTGTTTTTCAATAGGGGGAGCTGTGAGAGCTGTTATCGTTCTGCTCCATGCAGATATGCATCAAAGGGGCACCGTGGGAAGTGTCTGCCACTTGGCTACTTCACTCGTCACCGTCTCACCTGGAGTCAAAAGAGACGAAGCCGTGGCAAATATCACCAAACGCTCAAAATCTGGGAAAGTCATGCAAGATGTACGTAACGTGCTGGTGGAGCTGCTTTTGTTTGTACCAGGGGGTTACATGCTTGTGCTTCTACTTTGTTGAAATATTTTATGACACTAATTMTTTTTTATTATTATTATTTTAGGAGGAGATATTCAGCATCAATGAGGATTTCACTGTCACCGTTCACAGCAAACGCAATATTCCTGAACAGAGTTTAAACGACGCAGAGGAAGAGCAGGTGCAGTTCAACACATTTAACTAAAACCTTGTCTATCATACTCTGGATATTGTTAAAAACATTTTTTTTCTGCTCTTTGCTCCKCCCATTTATTAAGGAAAAGTTAAGATTTAAAAAGTCAGGTTTAGATGTGGATCTGTGTGGATTAACATACAGAGTTTAGGAGAAATGATGAAACAGCATTCTATTTTGGTAAAGTTTAATATCACTTTGTACTAAAAAACATAATTACAATGAAGACATTTTTAAATATTTCTAAATTTGTCTCCTTTTATCCTGATCCTGTTTAATTAAACTTTAGCTGTGCAGTGAAATGGTTAATATTTGAGAGGAAATTGTAACAGTGCCAAACAAACAACATGATGGACAATTATTTGGAAGAGCCTTTAGCAATAATATTTGATAAGTGTCATCAATATCGCCACCTAGTGGCAAGTTCGAGTTTCTATTAGTTTTAATTCCATTGGATAAAAAAGTTATATATTTTTTAAATAAATACAGAAAAGAAATGAACTATAGTGAAGTAGACAGGGCCTGAACAGAGGACAGACAGAAGACATGACAGGACAGAAATGAGTCCTATTTGTGTTTCAACAGGTGGACCCAACCGCTGACCTGACCTTCAACCTGCGGTTGTCTGATTCTGAGCTGGAGGCCAAGAAGAAACTCACGCTGCCGTTTGTTTTCAGCAAGGAGAAGTTAATAACTTTTTCATCACCATCGCATTCCTTTTCACTCCGTATATTCATATGAAACAACAYGAAAACACTGTTTTTCATTTTACAGGAAAAAATCTCTGCTGCACTCAGGACCGGGTTCGGGACGGATTCTGTACGAGCCGGACGCCAACGATGACTATGACCAGGAGGATCCTGATGATGATCTTGATGTTTAATATTAAACATGCTAAAACACATATTTGCTTATGCCATCATCATTCAATTACTGCATGACATATATGTCTTCAGCTAATTTTTACTTGTTTTGCATTAGCGAAGCTATGTTTTTAGTTTATGGATTATGAGTTAGCCAAGGTAATGTTTTGGTTAGCTGTGCCCACATGAAAAAATTAGCAGAATGCTAGACAAGTAAAGTTGACAGCTAAAGCTAACATTATCAGCTAATTGCTAATTCAAAGACTTGGAGTTGAACAATAGAAACAACAAAAAATAAAAACAATAGACTGACATACGTACTCCTGTTTGTTAGCTTCTTAGCTGTTAAAGTTGGCAAAACCTAATTTAGTGGAAGCTAATTAGTCTGATAACTGTTTTCAAAGTAAATGCTAATCTGCTAATTAGAATGCAAATATTTAATTTATAATCAAATGTGTTTAACAATTTAAGGAATTTGTGTAAAAACAAAAGTCAACCCTCATAAAGTTGCATGTAAGCAGATTTGGTTCTGTCATAAAACGGGCCACTGAACCTGTGTCTGTTTTTCATGTTTTATTATTTTATAGCTTTAAATCTCGGTGATATAATCAGGTCAGTTGACGCCAATTAAAGCACTTTTATCAGAACAGATTCTTACAAAGTGAGTCTCTGAATGTGARCTGTTAAACATTGAAGCAGGACCTGTTATATGGCAGTCTAAATTACTCCTACGTCACGTGCGTCTCGCTCGCTCTCGTCTTTTTTCTTTTTTTTTCCTTTCCACGTGGACGTGCCGCGCGCGCAACCGCATTGCTCGTCGTCGTCTCGCGGAAGTGACGGCAAAGGCGGCGATGGCGGCTCGCACGGTTTCATTCCGGACTTCCACTGGACTACAAACCCGATTTTAGCCGGTCCGCTTGGACTTTCGGGGAACTTCTTGCGGAMGCGGCTCGCCACGGGAAGCGTCGCGGGCCGACGGGACGTTGAGCCGGTGCCTGTCAGCGAACCTCCGCGCGGCTTTTCTGGTGGGGGTATTTCTGTCCCGAGTTCAAGGTGGTCACCCTGCCTGTCGAGCTAGCGGTAGCTTCGCGGCTATCGGCTAAAAGAGCTGCGCGTTGAGATCCAAACAGCAGCAGACGTCGCACCTACACAAGGTTTCTCTTTGATTTTGACATACGTTCGTCGGCGTTCGTCACAAAACTTTCATGTTWTGCTAACAGCGCCACGAGCTTGCACAGCTCGGCCTCCTGACTGTTGGAATTGMTAGTTATTTTTTTGGCGGCTGTGTAACTGAAAAGACGGGATTTGGGCTGTCCAGGAGAAGCTCTGCTCTGCTGCCTGCTCTCAGCTGAGAACTGAACTTGTTGTGTGGGAGGAGGGTCTCCGGGTGCTCATCAACATGCTGAAGACCCGCCAGTGTCTGTTGGGCATCCGCACCTTTCTCAACTTTACGTCCAGAATATGGAACTTCCTCATGTACATTCTCAGGAAGCACCTGCGGACGGTGAGAAGACCTTTTGACATGATCTCTGCTCCTTTTAGTGCTACCTGTGAGAGGCCATGTGTGCACAGCTGGGCTCTTATATGGATTTTTGCACCACTTCTTCCTTGTCCCCCTCCCTCCATATTTATTTATCTCATGTGCGGCAACGCTGTAGTGTGAATTCAGCAGCATATTTGGACCAGAAAGTATTTTTCTTTATTTTAACACAACAGCTTGTCAGCCGATTACTTAGGCCGATTTTTGTCTGAGTTTATTAATCTCATAAAAAAGTAGGTTGGTTTGTGTGCAGAACAGTGTTGTTGTGGTTGACATTATTCAGATGTGTCAGGGACAAAAGTGCAGGAAGTGTGCAGTCTTTATATTCTGGAGAAAACAAAAAGTCTAGCTTGGCTGCCATTGTCAACATGTTAAACAATAAATAGTATATTTTTTTATTGTCACGACTAACCAGTGATATTCTACACCAGTGGTTTCAAACTTTTCAGCTTCCGGCCCACAAAATAACAGTTGCAGAGACTTATAACCCCACTGATGTTACTTWGCTAGTAACTCTGGTAAACATGGGCATAATGATAACAAACACAATAGCCATTATATGAATTTCATTCATTTATGATTTTTAAAAGTTATTTTTTTACCATAATCATGGTGAGAATATTCCATTAGCAATTTATTTGTGTTTAAATTSGTGTCTGGAAATCATCTGAGGACCCCCACATGATGATTTATGACCCACAGAGGGGTCCTGTTCTCCAGAATGATTCTCAACTTTGTCACAGACACTATAAATTCAAATGTTGGGTGATATTGGGGGGAAGCACCATTAATTGTGGCATTTAGATGATAACAAATAATAGATGACCAATGCATTTGCATGCTTTTGTCTCTAAATGAGTTACCCTGTGTTTTGTAATTATACTTACAAATGATCAAACTAACTTCTTCATTTTTAACAGCGACAGCCCTGCATTATTTCCTTCCAGCACTTGCGGTCACTTCGCTGTTCGTGTGCAACACAATGACAGAGTGCGTTGTGGATTCTCAGCTGGAGGAAAGTTTGTTGTAGMCTCTGTCCGTGTCATCTGGCTTTCCTCGTTCTCCATCCACTTTATGCTGGTGTTTGCTGGTGATCAAGCAAGTGTTGGGGATAGCGTTAGCTCCGTGCCACTTCCAGAACACACACCTGTTTGATAGTGAGAGTGCATCGCACACAAAAATACGCCATCACGTGGCACTAATTGCAAAAGTGCCTAATTAATTGATGACTCACGATACAATTTTGCCCAAACTTAATGCATTATTGCAACATATTGGGGAAAAAAAGCCATAACAGTCATGCTGCTGAGATGAACGTTTGTTAAGATAGTCACATTGTTGTGTGTTTTCATCCAGCTGCAGCACAAAGTTCAAACCCTCAGTCTTAAAAGTTGCAGCCAACCTGTTACAAATACCTGCACCATAACCATAACATTTAATGTGTCAGAGCCCACCTATGTTATAATACTCTGAGAAAAGTTCTGTGTTTATGAAACTAACAACCCCAGGTGCTCCCTGCGTTACTAACTTATTGTGTGCTGGTAACACTCGCAGGTTGTCAACAAGCCCTGAGAGTGAGTCGAGTCCACGCTGTGGCTGAAGTTAGAGGGATTATGTCTGCACAGAGAGGGCACTGTTCTCCCCGCCTGTTTCTGTCCTCAATCACCGTTTAGCTCCGTTGTTTACAACCTGCCATCCACCACAACACAGCGAGCGTCAACACTGTGTTTTTTTTCTAACACAGGTGATCGACCTTTAAGGTGCCTGGTGTATTATCAAAATACTTTTATCCTAAGAAAACTAAATTAAAACTAAACGATTTATTGGATTATGAAGCTGATCTTAATCCCATGCACACTGACTACTGTCAACAAATGATGAAATAATTGTTCAGCTAATCTTTTCGGACGTGATTATTTAATGTTTGTTTGGCAGCACACAATATTAAGTTTGCATCCAGGCAGAAACAATCAGCGCAAACTTTAAACATATAAGATGGATCTGAGAGGATTAATTTATTGTAAATAGGACAAAATATGGTGATAATTGAGATTATTTCTGAGATACTCTGCTTCTCAGTTGTTAAAATATTTAATGCAAACATKAATTGTTTTTAGTGTTGACGTATTTTACTTTGAAGTGATAGTGGAGATATTTGGAAACATACAGGGGTGGGAGGTATATTTAGCTGCGCTTCAGTAGATGCTGAATCGATTTTTAAATGTCAAAAATGGATTTTGTTGACGTTCATCTGTGCTGCCACTGTCGTGGTCCCGGTAGAGTTACCGTAGTGTCCTGAAATTGAAACATGTTGAACTGAAGCTGTGTTTTGTTTCACCGTTTTTTAAAAATCTTCTCTTCACTAAACCTTGAAAAATACATGTCTTTAAATAATTGGTATTATCAGAATATGACTGTCCTCAATAAGCACTTTAAATGCTTTGATTTGTGTAAAGTTTTACTAATGCTAATCCTGTTAGCTCTTTAAAGGCATCTTCAGTGTGAATTTAGCATCTATGCTAACCATTGATCAGCAGCCTGTGAATTATGGTTTTTTACTTTGTTATTGTGCATTTTTATTAGGTGCAAAATATGTGCTTATTTATGTAAAATAGGTTGATAAACAAACATAAATAATTGGCATTAACAGTTGTTTTATAACTGCAGCCTCTGAATTGTAACTGAATCATGATGCACCTGAAGAGYCTCTCAGCTAGAAATGAGCTATGTGGAGTGGTTATAAACTACGACTATCTTACCTGTTGTAAATGGGTATAAACAGTTAGTAGAGTTGTCTCTCAGCAAGAAGGTTGCAGGATTGCATCCCAGCCGAGTGTTGCTCTGGTTGGGGTTTGCATGTTCCAGCTGTGCACGCGTGGGTTTTCTCCAGGTTCTCCAGTTTCCTCCCACAGAACAAAAAATATGTTTGGTTAATTGGCGACTCTAAATTATCCCAAGGTGTGAGTGAGAGTGTGAATGGTTGGCCTGATTTGTGTTCTTTATTTTATTTTTTATTTTTATTTTTTTTGCAACATTTTAAAGGTTTCCTCAAAATTAGCATTACAATAGGATGAAACATGGCTACTGGAGGCCTTTGGAGAAATAAAGAAATAAAGTTTAATTTTGACTGGATTGATAAACTAACAGTACAAAGAAATGCCGCAGAAATATGAAAATTTTCCTTCAGGACATTGTTACAGCTAGCTGCTGCTGCTAGTTGCTCTTGAAAATAACCCTTTAATTGTATGAAAATATCTGTAATGTGAATTGATAAATGTAAATCTTAATAAAATAACATTAGCATGATTTAAATGCCTGATTAGCTGTTAGCTCATCCAAACTAAAAAAACTTAAAAAACTTCATCAGGTATTTGCTCATAACCTTTCCTCAGAACCTCACCTGACCAGTCGCTTCTAACAATGTCAGTTTAAATGTGTTGCTTTCAGCACTTGGTCAATAATTTATTATCCTTTTTAATTTAATGGCGTTCTTGTGGTTGTTCTGCTTACCAACATTTCACGTGATTCTCTTCAACATTTTTATTCCAGTTGCACAGCTTAAGAAAAAAAAAGGTAATTGTAGCTTTAAACTGTAAGCTAAAGGTTTGGAGTTTGCAGGTCTGAGGTCCAGATGGACTCAGAGATGCAGAAATGTTTGTGGGTGAGGTTTCCCTGCAGCTGTAGGTTCCCTCTGCCTGGCAGCAGCAGGACGGGGGGGACACRTTGCAGGAAGGCCCCTGGGTACCAAGCAGCTCAGTCAAAGTCACCCCTGCGATTCTTCCTTTCTGCTGCTGGTGCCCCACGCTTCGCTGACACCGTCCGACAGCTGGGGGGGATAAAAATAGCCCAGCAGAGTTCCCCCCACCTCCTCCGGGCGAACGTGGCACTCAGAAGGATCCTCGCTTTAGTCGTCCTGTTCGGAGCAGAGCAGGAAGCTGCAGGATGGACAGGAAACAAACTGCCTTTCTTCATTTCATCCCATCACGCTGTCCTCTTCTGTCCCTCTTCTAACATTTTCTAAATGGAGGTTTAGAATATCTCAACACTTGGTTCAGATGATCCCGAGCACAGTTAAAAAAAAATAAAACAAGATTTATTTCCCAGCAGAATAAAAGTTGAAGGTGGTGAAGTCATGTTCTGTTATCACGGCTCATCMCTGCTCAGTTTCCTTTATCTGCTGTTGTTTTTGAGCCTTGACGCTCCGTCTCATTTGCTCCTTTTCTTTTCCAGATAATCCAGTATCAAACGGTGCGATACGATATTCTGCCCCTGTCGCCCATCTCCAGAAACAGACTCAGTGAGTACCTGACTGTTTTCATGACACACAGCTGAACTCTTCTTTCTCCAGGAGGGGTGATTAAACAAGGGGGTGGGGGGCTGCCGCCATCCTGCATGTTTTACTTGTTTCTCTGCCCCAAAACACCTGATTTAGTGACTTCRTTACCTCTTCAACTTCTTTATAAGCCTGTTATTCACCTGTTCATTCTAATCAGGTGTGTTGGAGCAGAGAAACGTAAAACGAGCAGGATAGTGGAGCTCAAGAAGTTAAATGTTGGCCTACTTTGTCAAAGTGTTTTGATGTTTAGGATCATTGTCCAGGTGGAACTTTGCGTAAATTTTGTAAGCGGCGTGAGGGCTCAGCTATTTTATGAAGCCAGAGGAAGACACACAAAGAACTAGAGAATTAACATTTCCTRTGAAATGCAATATGAATGCTTAATGCTGAGAGAGTTTTTGCTAAAAAGGCTGAAATTGGCATCAAAATGAGTGAAGAAAAAGTAGCTGAAATTAGCACCAAGAAACAGAAAGCGCATATTTGCTGAATTAAGCAGTAAGAAGCTCAAATTTTCTTAAAAAGGTGAAATTAGCTGAAAGAGTCCAAATTAGTTAAAAAGTAGCTAAAACACAGAAAACACCTGCAGTTATTAAAAAGATGCATAAAAAGCTTCAAATGACAGAAGCTGGAGTAAGGACAAAAAGTTGAAATAGCTGAAAAGGTCACAATGATAGCTAAACAGAAGCAGAGACGTGCTAAAATCAGCCAAAGAAAGCTGAAAGTAGTTCATAAAGCAGAGCTAGAACAAAAGGTAAAAAGTACATATTTTTTTAAGRGTTTTATGGATGTTGAAGACTGCTCCATTCATTTTCAATGAGGAAAAAAAGGCAGAATAAGTTAAATGACAAAAATTTTATAAATTGCCGAAGTACCAAAAGTCATAGCTGAAATGTCCTGAAAGAGCTAAATATTTTGTTATGTAAATTTAACACATTTCTGTAAGTCATTCTATTATTATTATTGTTGTTGTTGTTGTTGTTGTTGACGTCGTCGTCGTCGTTAGTTCAAAATGGTCTCCAAACAATATTATTAGGGATGCACCGATATGAAAATTTTAGCCAATATCAATATCCGATATAATTWTTGCTGTTATGGCAGATAACCAATATTTACTGATATTACACAAACACAAATTATATTATACATTAGGGTTGGGCAATATTGGCAAAATAATTAATCACGATTAATTGTGGTATTTAGCCGATAACGATTAATTTGGCAATTAATGCCCTGGAGTCCCTGGACACCCTCATGTCCTGGTCACATGACCAATTTAGTGGGAAAGATTTGCTCTTTGCAAAGATCTGTTCCAAATTTTCTCAAAATTACAGACTTCAGGCTATACTTCAAATTTTTAATGATGTTGACAGACCAAGAAAAACTGGAGTTATGATAAATAAATTACTGAACTTTTTTGTTGTTTTAATGTTCGACACATTGGACGCAGAGAGGAGCATTGAGCGGACTGGTGGCATWAATCATATTWATCATCAAGTGCCCAAAAATAATCRATTAATGTTTTTCTGACGATTAATCGCACAYGATAYGATTATGCCCAACCCTATTATACATATGCACACAAACACACTTTGGTCTTTTTTTGATACTGAAAATAAACGACCAGACCTCTGATATGGCTCTACTTCAGTTATTCCTGGCTGCACAGCATCATTATCATTATCGTGATCAAACATGACACTCAACCAACCATCTCCCCTCTCAAAACAGAAACTAAAGCTAAAAAGTGGGAAATCAATATCGGATGTTAATATCGGCCCAGTTTTCAGACCGATACCGATATAAGTGACGATATATCGTGCATCCCTAAATATTATCGTAGACCTCCAGGTGAGCAGCTGCAAATTTCAGTTGTGTTTTGAAGGAGCAGGAAGTTGTTTCTTGGTGGGCACCGTCTCAGTCCGCTGTGATTGAACACCTAATTGCTTTCATCTAAGGAAGCCAGACAAGTTTTGGTTGATCTGATGACTCATTATATGTTGGCAAAGTGAAACTACCAGCTGCAGTCGATCCTGCTCTTCAATCAAAAGTTATTAGACATTTCTAAAACCTTCAGCACCACTTACTACAAGACTTAGATGGTAAAGATTCACTGCTTCAAATAAATCAATAAAAGGCAACAAGTAGTGACATCCATTCTCACAGTGAGTGGATGTAAACTTTTTACTGCAACTGTAAATCATTTGCGCCGACTTTGAAGCTTGTAAAGATTTGAAACATCAATAAAAAGAAAAATGTCTGAAGTGTTTTTGTCTGACAGATCAGAGACAACCACAACATGTTTCCACTGAGAAGAAGTTAAACCGGTTTGTCAAGTGGGAACTTATTATGCAGACAGGACTTTTTTTCTCTCGCTCAAACATATCAGCAAACATTTGTGACACATGTACCACTTCCTTACCTCAGAGCAGATAACCATCAGTTCAGTCTGTATTTATCATGAGACGCTTCGAAGCACTCGTCATTTTGTCTTAGAATAGAACCTAACATGGACAGTCAAACCACACTTCTATGTTTCAGTAAAGCTTCAGGCTGATTTAATGGGTTTTCCTCTGGATTTTGTCCCTACAAAGTAAAAGTGAAAGTACATTTTCTCTATGCTGTGAAAGAATAACGAAAACACCTTTAAGAAAATATCAGACTTTTAAAAAAAGTGTTGTGAAACGAGTGTTTATAACCACACTGGTGATATTTTGAAGCTGGAACATGGACGTTTGATGATGTAATCAATATTTAAAGCTGTAAACGACTCTTCAGAGCTGAGTTTCWCAATGCTGTGATCTCAGCTGTGAATTGAACAAAGGCTGATGTAACTGATTTGAAGCTGTTGATAAAAATGTTTGAAATACGTTGAGTAAGAAGCGAGGCAGCAGGTGGATGTCTGGCTTTTAAAGAGAGTTGATTTGAGTGTGATGGTTCTGAATGAAGAGTGAAGAGCTCGTCCAGCAGCACTCCTAACTCAGAGGAAGGATTGTGTTTCWGCTCTACTCGACTCAGACGCAGATCTAGGCCGGGTCTTTGTGGACTGATTCCTTTGGTAGGTTTAACTGTGATGAGTCGGCTGTCTTGGACCGACCTGCGCACAGATTACAGCAGCAGAGCAGYGATTAGCCCTCAAATGCACAATATTATTAAAGAGATGTGCCGACTCTGTGAAAAGGTTGTGACTAATTAATATCTTACCTGTTGTGGAATATGCTTCAGTTTGGAGAAGTTTATTTCTGACTGGGTTGATTGGCTAAGTGTTAGTCCAAGTCAAAGTGGAACGCTGTCTTCTTAAAAGAACTAAACTCTTCAAAAATTTAACATTTGTATATTTTACATCAGGAGTGTCGAGCTCCTTTTCACTGAGGGTCACATGAACGCTATGGTGGCCCTCCAAGGTCCAATACTTAGTAATTAACTTCAACTTTTCATGTTTTCCTTCGACTAAACATTAAACGTCATGCTCCTCGTCTCATTACTACAGCTGAGCACCACTAACAAACAATAACTGAGCTCTACGTGGTATTTCCTGTATAGAAACAGTGTTTTAACTCGTTCTCTTATAAACATTAAGTAGTACTACATGCACAACTGACTAAATAAGAAATAAATAATACAGAAATACTACTAAAAATAAAAGTAGTAAGTTTTACTTTGAGTTGCAGTAAGTAGCCACCATCTTGAATTTTGAACCCTCCCACTTTCCAWCAGGGAATTCCCWCTGCWGGGGTGTTTCAGTTTAAGTGCATGATTTGTAAGAGGGAAGTTCCCACTTCCCAGTCCAACTGGGCCACAGCAAATATAGCCAGCTTCTAGCTACTTTGGATCCTGTGCACCTCCAGCTAGTGGTGGGATGTTGWCATTTTGCTAATAAAATAATCATCATGCATTATGGGAGATGTAGTTTACTGTTAGTGCTGGCTTTAAAGCRGCATTCATTAATTTTCAGACATTAATACATCGTTGAAGCTCTCGTGAGCCACATAAAATGCTGTGGTGGGCTACATTTGGCCTGTGGGCCTTGAATTTGACACCATCAGTTTTGTATGATTCCTCAGTAGAAATATGTAGCAGTGGTGAGATGTAAAATAATTTGCCTGTGCTGCTTCTGTAAAGTCTGGTTCATACTTCAGAACTACCAAAGTTGTGTTTTGCTGATGTGTTTGTGTGACAAAACTACTGTATTTTTCTTGTACAGCCCCTGAAACCTATCTTGTACATTGTCCCGTCTGTCAGAACTATTGTCTTTTTCTAGTTTTTACATTTATGTTTCTAATACATTTATTGGTTTTTATATACAGTGTGATGCATTTCTAGATATTTTGTGGAAAGTGCTACATTGGATTTATTTTGTTTAATAAACTCCAGATGCAGTAAGGAGGAAGATTCTGGTTCTGGATCTGGATGAAACCCTGATCCACTCTCACCACGACGGGGTCATGAGGCAGACAGTGAAACCTGGCACACCGCCAGACTTTATCCTCAAAGTAAGCCCACCAACCTCAAGTAAATGTAAAAATACAAAAAGTGTCCAAAACCATGAGCTGTGTATTTGTTTACTTCTCCCCGCAGGTCGTCATCGACAAGCATCCAGTCAGATTCTTTGTACATAAAAGGCCACATGTTGACTTCTTTTTAGAAGTGGTGAGTCTGTCACACGTCCTCACTTCTMCTGACTGAAAAGTAAAACACACAAACGTCAAAGCTCCGGTCAGGTTACGGTTCTGTTCTGTTRCATCACAGAATCTAATAACTGAAGCTAATATTTGCTCTGTATGAAGGCCCAACAAAYGCAGACGTTACCTTGTGTGGCTGCRGTGGTGTTTATCCTGAACAATGTGTGTGCACAGGTGAGCCARTGGTACGAGCTGGTGGTCTTCACAGCCAGTATGGAGATCTACGGCTCGGCGGTCGCAGACAAGCTGGACAACAACAGGAACATCCTGAAACGCAGATACTACAGACAGGTAAGACTGACTGTACAACACAGCACCTGTCACTTAGGGCTGGGCGGTATGACCAAAATATCACGATATTTTCAACATTTACACCGGTTTCACGGTATATCACGGTGTTTTTCTTTTCATCACTGGTCAACTGATGATAAAATGTACAAACACTGCTTATTAACTTTTTTCTTTTACTGTACCTCTGTCTGTGTCTCTGTTTCCCTCCTCTAAACGTCTTTTCTTCTCCTCCTGGTTGGAGACAGTAGTCACGCATTTTGGTCTGGTCGTGAAGGAGGAGGGTTAAGAAAAGATTATGATCGGGTTTATTGTTTTATGTTCTTTAACATTAACAGCACGACTCACCTTGAACACCAGTCAACTCAATTCCACTACAAGACTACTTCCTCCGGGCTTTTCACAATAGAAGCACGTTAAAGTCTCCATGCGTCTCCACGTCTCCATATTAACGTTGCGTGTTTAGAATAAACACATCTTCAGTGCACGTCACTGAAGATGTGTTTAATACATTCACCGATGGCGAAAACGGGATGTTTTTTTTTTTTTTTACATCAGCCAATATAAGCTGCGGAATTGCTACCCGCCGCTTCAACAAACTGCTCCAACAGTAACATTAGCATGCTAACGCACAAAGCGGTGCTGCGAAGAAAASTGTCCCCTGAGAAACAGTTCACAGGCGGCCACGACGAAACGTTCCGAACGTGTTCAGGCTATTTAAACCGGTATGTCAGTATTCAGAAAATTCATATCATAACAAAAATAAAAAACAGTATTTGGTACGAGCCGGTATACCGCCCAGCACTAGTGTCACTGTTTATGTTGCTGAAAGTGACCTTCATGKTTTTTTTTTCTCCCCAGCATTGCACATTGGATCTAGGTAGTTATATTAAAGACCTGTCTGTAGTACACGATGACCTGTCCAGTATTGTTATCCTGGATAATTCGCCTGGTGCTTATCGAAGCCATCCAGGTAAGAAAAACAAAACATGCAGCTTATTAGAAATGACATTTTTTATGGTATCAAACATTTTTATTAATAAACTGTGGATAAAAGCATGGGATGACCAGACAGTTCAGTCATCTTTTAAGACTGGGGTCTGCAGCCTTTACAATCAAGATTTTTTTTTTTCAGTTTTAAATTAAAATTAGAAAAAACATAATCTGGTGGGGGTTTTTTTTGTTTGTTTGTTTGTTTTAATGGTTTCTGTCATCTGCATATTTAAAACAACCATATATTTTAATTTGGATATGGAACTAAGGCAAAAATWAAATTGTGAAGTTTTAATTAGGGTTTTTTTATATAATTTCTGCATTTAGGTTTTAAACTGGAAAAAAAAACTTTTCTTTTTTTGATTTAGTTTTGAAATGGAAAAGTAAACAAAAAACAAACCATACACAGATTGATTTATAACATTTATTATTATTTTTATGCTTTAGGATAAAAGAAAAGATCATAATCATGTGAACTCGAAAGACTTTTATAGTAAATGTAGTAATAGTATCAATCACATATTTACAAACAATTTGACAGAAAACCTGCTGAAGCCTTTTCTGTTGTGGGTATAAAAATCAGAAACTAATAATATCAATAAATGAATTAAATAAATCTCATGTTAATTTTGATCGAAGCTTCAAAGAGCCGCAGCAGAGGAACCAAAGAGCCACATGTGGTCCCAGCCACAGGCTGGAGACTCCTGATCTAAGATTAAAGAGATAATTCAAACATTTTAAAGTGAAGTTTTGTAGAAAAGTCCTGAACAATTATTATTATACGTGTTGTGGATGGCTCCTACATTTTAAACAAAAACAGTTTAATCAGATTGATGAGCTAATGGCTAGTCTGAAGGGTGCCAAGACCAGCCTGGATTGCTCCATCTTAATATTAAATATCATCTTTTCCCTGCTGGAAGTTCTCCAGTCTGCATTTGTTCTTGAATCTCAACATAAATGTGTTTAACTTGATGGTAGTAATAAATAATATTCCAGTTATGTGACATGGAGCCAACCTGTTTCCTCTGTTTTATTTAACCCTGTTTTAACTTGAGTAAACTTGCATGTAAACAGTCTGTTCTCACTGTAAAATCTCAGCCACTCCTTGTTTTCTGCCCTACAGACAATGCAATACCCATCAAGTCCTGGTTCACTGACCCTAGTGACACAGCACTTCTTAACTTGCTGCCTATGCTGGACGCACTAAGGTAAACTAAAACCATTCAAACACATCAACTCCTAACTTACCTTATCCAACCTTTCTGAACGTTTGGAGCCATTTAAAGCTCTGGTCAAGGAYCCTGACTTTTTATTTAATGATTTAAAGTGGTCTTCATCAACAGCTCTTTAGAATTTTACAWGGTCTATCAAAGGTTTTCAGTTTTTGGACTTGGCCTGCTTTTCATCTCCTTTTCTGTCCAGTATCTGAGTCATCTGTTTCTGASACTCAACTCTAAATTGTGTATTGTTCAGGTGTAAGAAAGCTCCTGGGAAACAAACATTCAGACACTTTGTTACTCTCAGCCTGTCACAGTGACTGTTTGACAAATACAGTAGTGCTTGAGCACAAAAAAAKATGATTCCTAAAGAGTTTGTAGCTGAAAACTTAACAGAACCGAAGGATGATTGTCTGTATGACACAACGGGCTTAAAAGACAATTAAATATTTGGAGTCCAGACCAGGCTTTTAGGYAGGATTTTGGAAGGTGGGGGGTAAACTTTTATATCACTGTGTTTTTAAGAACTCTAGGGMTCAGCACAGTGCTCTGAGGGCATTGTAACATGGAAATGAGGCATCGCCAACCTGAAAGGAGTCGTCAGAAAACCAAAGAGGCCTTCTAGTTAAAGCCTGCTCCAGACAATCGTAACAATTTAAAGTGATCCATGATTAGTTGGAACATTAGACTTTATTTGATAAACATTTATTTTAACTGTAAAATAAAGACTGTAAAAATACTGTAGGCTGTTTAGTTTTTATAATTTTTTAAAATATATTTTAACACGGACGGGGACATTTTATTTACACACAAAGCATTCTGGGTAAATGATGACGTGGATAGGTCCTCGGTGCGAGCGAGCTATATCCACCCTCAGCCTGTCAGCCTTTGTGCTAGCGCCGAGCTAATACATTTATATGGTGATAGCGTTGGGGCTAATGCTAAAGCTAACAGGCTAAGCT